ATTTTTTATTTCTCGCCGATATCCGATCCAGTAATTTGGGTCAGTATCGGACCGATACCGATACGTAATATCGGATCGGTCCATCTCTAGTCTCAACGGGATCTTGAGCTTTATTGTGAAAGGTTTATGTGGAACATAAACAAGCGGACACGCGATGGTGTTACCGTTGTTGTTGTTAACCACAACGCATAAAAACAGGCCCTTTTCCGTCTGTAGTGTGGTTATATTAAATATAAGAGAAATAGAGAACTTTAAGAAATGAATATAGCCACAGATTATTTTGCGACACCACAAAACAAACGATAGCGTAAAATGAAACGATAGACGTTTTTATATCGTCATCTGATATATATCGTTATATCGAACAGCACTAGACAACCGCAGCTTCAACCCAATCTTTGCTGTTCAACCCCTTGCATCTAATGAAAAGGCTGTTAATACCAAAGGTGAAAAATAACATAAAACCAGCCGCAGCTCATTGACACCTGAGTTACCCTCTGGCTTTCCTCTTTGTTGTGAATAAATCTAGTAGATAAAAGCAGAGAGGTAATTGGAGAGAATAATGACCAAATCCATCACTTCTTATCAAGTACAAAAAAAATAAAGTTTTTTTCCTGCTGTTTTCCATCGCGAAAGACTTCACACGAGTCTTAAATGGAGCTTATAGAGCTCATATCAGTTCAGCCTCCTTCCAGTCCCGGCTCACGTATTTCCAAAAATTACTGTTTCAAAAGTCGCCCAAGCGCTTCTGCTTAATGACTCGATCCACACTCTGTTTGTGTTTGCAAACTATGTGGAAAAATTGTCATTATTTCTACAAGAGCAGCTGCAGACACCAGAGAAATGGCAACATTTGTTGTATTTGATGTACAATAAAATCTCAAATGAGAATAACTCAAGCCTGCCTTTCAGTGTAATGTTTCCCTGAATCTGCCATGATGAGTCTGAAGCTCAGCGATGTGTGTGATAACAACTGCTTTTCTGTGCGTCTCATCACCATAACCAATGTTTGAGTCATTCATTTCTGCCACACTGCTGTAACTACGTCTTGATGAATAGGCTTTTTCCCCCCCAACACAAAACTCAGTGAGCTTTTCCTCAAACACTTCAGCCTTGTTCATTGTTTACTGAGAAATTCAGATTTTCTTCTGAAAGAACAAGAGTGACATGTCACTGGAGTTCAGCCCAAACGGCCCCGAGACGACATGGAAGTTCAATTTTATTCACATGCAACTTTTAGTCATGCAAAGTGTTTACCTGCTCTTCTGACAGCTGAGAGATGTGGTTCACTGCAGCGTATGACTCAATCTTGGGGTTGAAGTGGTTGATTATGGCCCTGGAAGAAAAACGCAAAAAACCTTTTAAATAAGCCATGGGAGATAAAGGGGATATCTATGCGCATGTATGTGTATGTTTGTTGAATGACTTAATAATTCAGCTTCTGTCTCTAGCTGTTTTATCCACCTAATACTTTGTTACAGTACATAACTGAGCTGCTCTATAGCAAGTTTCTTATCCTGCGGATTAACTCCAACTTCATCATCATGCACTGCAGCTGCTGATCTTAGCCCTTGTCTGAAGCCTTGGCGAGTTCTGTGTAGCGCCACATAAACCAGTTCTCCACCTGCTGCAGCAGCTGTGAGCTTGAGTGCCAGGTGGAGATCCAGAGCCGAAGGACTAAAGAGGCAGGACTAGCACAGCAGGCAGCAATTATGAGCTACAATCAAATAAATATTCCACACTTGTTCCACTGTCTGGGACATGGGGAAAAATAAATTAGATGGTTTAATGTGGAAGAATCTTTCTAAGCTAATAGCAAAAAAGTTGAAACTGAGACCGTCCGATGTTGTCCCAGATTAAAAATGACCAATGCAAAAGAGGTTCAAAGATGGGAGAAAACAAAATGTTTTGCATGATTTAAGAGGTAGCTCCTGACACAGTCTATCTGAGTTATGTCAAGAAAAGCATGTTTGTGTGATGCATCCTCCAGATTTTATCAAGGGCAGCTCAGAATGGAAATACACAGCAGAGGAAGAACAGCTGTGCCTCTTGGCCCCAGTTCAATAGATATAATCGGCATATAGGCTACAAGGATCAAACCTGACATCCTTGACAGGTTGTCTGAAATCTGCTGAACGCAAGGATGTCCAAATACATTTGGCTATGATATGTGGCACAACATCTTATTTAGATTCAAATAATAATTGATAATTAAATTATATTAAAGGTTTAAATATCTGAAATTTGTATTTTTTGACAAAACGTGTCCTAAAAAATACAATTTGCAGAGTGTCTGTTAACAGAAAAGTCACTTCTGATACGTGTCACTGTCTCCTTTATATTGTTTGGATACACCAGGGAATCAAATCTAAATTCAGAGGCAATCTTCTCCATCATTAGCATTTATTTCAGAGAAATAAACTGCTTTATAGCTCAAGTATGAGTTGATGCACTAAGCACAGCTGAGAGATTGAATGGCTTATTTTGTACTGGCTTTGGCTGCGTCATATATCAAACAGATTATAGTGACAAACATGCAGAGGATTCTCGGCAGTGGTAATTCTGCTGTCATTTATGTATGGGAAGCCAGCCTAGAGTGGAATAAACAAACTGAGTAAAATGGGTTTGGTCCTTTCATTTAAGTTCATTATAAGACCATCTTCTGTGAATTCTTTAGAATTCTGTCTTTGTGCATTTATTCATCCATTCTTTCAACATTTACTCCTGTTATACTCCCAGCCTGCACTTCAGCTCTTCTGACTGCCTTTTTACACAGGGATGCTGTTCTATCAAGAGCCCACTGCACTCGCTAAATCCTCTAGGACTATCCTGTTCATACGGCCGCCCTCTGGGGCCTTCGAGCCAGGGTGACCTCAGAGGATCATCTCCCCGGAGAAGATGGAGGAGGAAAGGGAGATTACAGGGAAAAGATTTGAGGAAGAGACCAAGTACAATATCTGTGTGAGGTTGGGGTGAAGGAGATAAAAGCTTAAAATTTATAAAATAGAGGGGCCTAGGGGACTAAAAAAAGTCAGATGGTAGAGAACCCAAATTACAGCTCCGAAGACTTCGCTCACTTTCAGCTCCCTTCAATCCAGCATGACTCATTTCTCCTTCTTAGGATACAGAAATCAGAGTAAAGAGTGTGAGTGCGGGTGTGTGGCTGTGTGATTACCGAACATTGACAAGGGCATGCGTGACTTTACTGGCTGCCTCCTTCCACTGGCCTGTGTTAGTTGAAACTCTCAAAACTGGAAAGCAGAATGACAGAAATACACTAAAATAGGATTTTAGGATTAAGGCTGTATAAAGGTGGCTGTGCGTATTAAATAGTTCAGGAATGCTTTAAAAAAAATAAATTAAAAACTCAAGCATGAGGTTACGTACCCATGCAGTAGAGGTTGTCGAAGACCTGATGCATCCGTACGATTTCGTAGTACAGCTCGTCGTAGCTGTTGGAGGTGGGCAGGAATGTGTCGCCGTAAGTTATGAACATGTTGAACAGGTTTACTACCTGGATAAAGAGACACACAGTAGGATTAGCTGAACGTTACATTTATAGAAAGTACCCAACAAGAGAAAAATAAACCAAAAAGAGGATTTCTAAAGGGAAATTACATTTACACCGCATCCGTTTGGTGCTTTTAATCTCCTTAGACAAACATAAAATTTGTTTAGATTCGTGGTTGAAGCGCTACTACTAGAATCTGTCTTCTTACTAACCGTTACACATACAGCATCTCTATTAAACCAATCCTCACTGTGGTTTGTGGTCTGGTCTTGTGCCTCCATGTTTTTTTTTTTTTAACAGTGTATGATTCTCACCAGCAAGGCCAGATGAAAGATGTTGTGCTTGGCCAGCAGTGTGGTCTCATTTGACAGCAGGAACTTCAGCAGGTTGATGAGAGCTAATGCAGAGGGAGACATGCTTGCATTAATGAAATACAGAGGAGTGTTGCTAATCGTCTAGCAGCAGAGGCATATGGCGGCAGACTGCTTTCCTTAGTGTGCAGCTTTATTAAGGTAGATAATGGAATCACAGGAGGGGGGGGGGTGCAAATCTAGCCTCTTCATGAGCTTTTATTGAGGCAAACAATCCCACGAGAAGAACCAAAATGTGCACGCACGAAAAAAGCTCCAACACGAGTTGGCACAGCAACATGCTAAAAGAAGACAAACGATCGAATTCATTTTTCTCTCCAGTGTCATTTCATGGTACGCTATTATCTCCACCAGGAAAAGAGAGTCGGGGTTATTCAGGGAATTAAGCTGATTATTGGTCTGATTAGAGGAATCTGTATTCTAATGAGACACAGCGCGATGAGGCCATTACAAGCTGAAATGTTATCCTATTGTTTGTTGACCAGGCTGAAAACAAGGCCACGAGGATGGATTGTGCTTTCTTTAGAGACTCATTATCTGGTTTCAGTGATGCAATACATTTACAAAACAACACTTTAGAAGGAAATTGTGTTTGTTTTGCAAAAGCAGGAACTATTTGCTCAGCTCGTGAGGTGATATATATTTAGCAAATCAAACATTTTAAATTAGTCATATGTTGTCTCTCAGGTCATTTAAACCTAGGATAAAAGTAACCTGTTGAGCATTTACTTATTTTCTGGTATATACATCAACAGTCATGTGAAAAAGAACTTTTCACAGGACTCTAAGTAAATACACCCAATAATTCAGTAGCTTGTAAACCCACCTTAAGCAGCAATAACTTCAAATTCATTTTCAGTTTGACCTTATCCATCTCTCAAATCACTGTGGAGCAATTTTGGCCCACTCTTCTTTGCAAACTTGGTTTGGTTCAGTGAGGTTTGTGGGCATTTGTTTATGCACAGTTCTCTTAAGCTCCCACCACAGTATTTCAGTTGTGTTGAAGACTCTTTTCTTTTTTAAGCCATTCTGTTTTAGATTTGCTCCTTGCTTGAGATCATTGTCCCGTTTCAAGATCCAAAATGTTTAACTGTTGGGCAGAAGTCCCTACATTTGACTCTAGCGTATGAATACTGTTTTATACAAAGGAGTTTATGGTTACTCGACAACCGCAAGGTGCCCAGGTCCTGTCCCTGCAAAACAAACCAATACCATCATCCCTCCACCACCATGCTGACAGTTGGTATGAGGTGTTTGTGCTGACATGCTGTGGTGTTGCGAATTACGACCAAACATCCCCACTTTAATCTCTTCTCTTCAAAGAACATTGTTCTTAAAATCTTTGTTCAGATCCAACAGACGCCACGTCACCATTTCTCCTGGTAATCCCTCTGAATAATCCATATTTGCACAGTTTTTTTCCAGCTGCACTGTCGTGAACATTAACATGCTACCTGAGGCCTGATCTTGGGTTAAATCTACTTGAACGTTCATTCGTGGAAAGACTGCGGTATTGTGTTAACACACCTGAATGCGCCATGCAAGCAAATAACTCAAACTTCTGCTGTTATAGAGGTGGTCATGCTTGCAAATGATCAACAATCGAGTGCATTTGATTAGCAGCACCTGGGTGCTACTTACCTTCTTAACTCTAAAAGCAGTAAGGGTGTATTTATCTACTATCTAAAACGTATCTACTTATTTCAGTGAAAAGGTCATAAATTGGAAATTGTTTTTCAAAGCTCTTTTTCAAAGAAATTGTTTTTTGAGCTAAATGGTATTATCAGCTCACTAATTCACAAAAACTGGGATGAAAATGGAAAAGCTGAGATTGACTCTAAAATACAAGGACACTGGGATTTAAATTATGAGATAACCTGTGATATATAAAAAACAGCAGGCATTTTCCCTGAGAAATAAATCCTATCTGAATGGGGCTTTTTGTCTGACAAACAGTACATAAGCGAGAAGATGAGGTATCATTACCTGACCAAAGCTCTCTCCAGGTGTAGTGTAATCTGATTCTACATTTCTTTTGGTAACAAAGGAGTTTGTGGATGATCTGCACACAGCGCCTGCACAGGAAATAAGACAAGAAACTCGGATTAAATCAATTTGATGATGGATGAGTCATAAAATGTGTAATTTAATGTGTTCTCACAGGTATAAATCCATGGGGAAATCCTTCATCATGTGAGTAACAATAAACTCCACCATCAGATCTACACAAAAGATAACTGTTAAAATGCATGACCTTTGACTGCGATGAAGTTTAATTGATGCAAAAACTCAGAAGTTAGGCCTTATAGCTAACAGATATCATTGCTGATTTGAATTCATAGTAAAAAGTTAAAACACTCTTCTTACCTAGAACAGCACACACCAGCGGCCGCGACGGGATGTTCTTGTCCACTGCTTTTTTCCTGTGCCTCATAGGCTGAAAAATATAGAAATAGAAAAATATGTTAATATGCACAGATACTCTGTAATTTTAATAATTATAATTGTACAAGACAAGCCTACTTTGCAGTTTTGGAAACAGTTTTTACAGCTGTATGTTATTTATTGTTAAGTGACACAGAGCAGATAATCAGCAGACACTAAATAACAGTCACAGTCAGAAACTGACAGCATCTGCACGGGTATGTAATCCTTCAAAGTACAACTTTTAAGAGAGTAACTCATGTTTTTCCAGATATCTCACTGGCCAGGTTGCTTTTGTGCTATATTTCAATTTTATTTAGCTGTTTTCACAAAGAGGATTTGTGGGAGGTACTCCAATTCTACTGTTTTGAACTGTCAGCAGTCCTCCTTCTGGTCTGGAGATCAGTGAGCAAGAGGGCCACACTAACCAGAATCTGTAGCAGTGGGCAATTTTTCCATGCACCGCTATTCTGAGCTCACAGAGGCTGCAGAGAAGGTCTACAGCCGCCAGCTGAAGTCCAAAATGATGGAGTCTGAGTTTAGCTACAGAACGAGATTCACTCAAGAAGGAGCTGATTATATGTTTCAGTTGACAAAACTAAAACAGTTGATACCTCCAACCAACTGCAGAAACCATATACCACACCCAGTGTCCACACTTGAAATGCTCCTATCTTTCTATCTAACTATCTTTGATGCACAAGAGGAAGCAATCAGAGGGAGTAATATCAGGCGAGGGAAGACAAGTAGGGAGTTAAAAATATCTTAGTAGGGGGAAACGAACCAGTGCACATTTTTAAAGTGTACAATTCACTGTGCCACTGTGTAACATTTAGATTCATCTGTGCTGCAAGATGTTATAACAGAACATGCAGTAAAAAGTCTGACCCTAGGGAATGAATTCAGTTTTCAACCCCCGGGAACAATCAAAAGAGTGATGATCACGGCCTGGGTCACCATCCTGACCTGATGTGTCCCCTTAGAGTGAAACATCTTCCACTGACAGTGCAGGTTTATTACATTAACACTGGGCTATTCACAGATAACATAGCATAACAGAAACAGGCTGGACTTTCGGATCGCACCTTGTAATTACTTCTATCCTCACTGAGTGTCACTCACACGGCCATGAACTCACCATTCGATGGAGACTGACTCTGAAGTTCATATTGTCATCATGAAGAAAGGCATCAGCATACTGGTCCTATCGTATAGGGAAGGATTAAAAACAAAGATGGTCAGGTTGATGGAGAATGCGGTCGGTGGCATTTGTTGCAGGACGGTAGGTTCTCATACCTCGGCTATGCAGGTGAGAATAATCAGGCACAGTCTGGCGCTGTTGAGTCGGTGCTCATCTTTGAAAACAATAACAGATAAAAGGACTAAACATAAACAACCCAAAACATGATGACAGCTATAACAGTTTAATAATTTGGCGGGCACTTTAGGACAAAGATGAGATTAAAATGACCAGAATGAATGATTATTAGAAGGTAGAGTAGCAGAGACCAAGAGAAAGAAGATTTAAATCTTTTTGTTACCTTTTGTATCCTGCATTACAATGGAAGCATACTTGAGGAAGGTGATGAGAAGGTTGCTGGTCTGCAGGTTAGGATCCAGAGGCAGTTCTGGGTTGCTCATCACTATAATGCAAATGTAGAAATGACAGTACAGATAAACATCATCACTAGGGTAAAAAAAAAAACACACACACACACACACACAGTCAAACTAATTTCCTTGTTTTCAGATTTACTCTGAATCCAGAAAACAACAGAGTTGCAAAAAAGTCAGAAATTTTGAAGTTAGTCCCAGTCTTTAAATTATGACTCTCCGTGAAACCTGAGCCCATCTTAAAGCCACCATTAACAACAGCATGACACTGAAACAACAGCTGTCTTGATGCATGCTCAATCATCCAGGTAAGTTAATCCCAAAAGGTTGATTCTGTTCATCTGGACGTAACTGTTTGACCTCACAGCCCAACTGTTCATTCAGTGGGCTAGTTTCAGCCATTGTGCAAATGTACTGTTTATATGGTTGGAGAAACCGGCAGTCAGCTGAGACTGAAGAAATCACTTGGATGAGTGACAAAACGTTTCTCCCACTGAAATTGCTACGTCCAGATGAACAGACTCAACCTTTTGGGATAAAACAGCAGCTAACTTGTTTGGGTAAACGGAGTGTTCATTCAAGCACAAAAAGTAATGTGTTTTTGCCATTACTGTAGCTACTGTATTTAACTGTGCAGTCTAGACAAGCATTTTCATCCATTTAAAAATCTCTGCTCTCTGAAACATCCAGCTTGACTCATGGTTAAATGATGAGCTGGTCATGTCCCTCCACCCCACAAAACCCTCCTGTGTTTCCTTCTTCCTCAGCACACAGCAGGCATACCACCAAAAAAACCAAAAAGATTTCACACCATCATACTATCGTGTGAGGCTCGACTGTAGAAGGAAATGCATATTCCTGACATGTGATTACAAGGCACATGTATGTGCTGACGCTCTCTCAACTTTTCATGATGCACACTGCATGTGAAACTCTCATTTGTATTTGAAGCTGGAGGTTAATATTTTATATAGAAAATGGCTCTTGGGTTTGAAGCTAGCCAGAGATAGAAACCTGTACCTTTTAACAGTCTTTTTAAAAGTTTTACATGTGCATGCCAAATGAGCTGCTTTTCAATGTGCCAGCATCAACATACACCATCCACAAAAGCTGAAGTGGGAGCTATAAACTCCTTTTCAAAGTGAGATTAGTAAGCAGCTGAAGTAGTATTAATAATTCACTTATTAAGGTGTAATAAATCGAGTGTGTATTAGGAACTCAATTCTATCAGGTAAAAAGCACAAACTGTATTTTTTATTTCTGCCTCTTTGCTTTTGAGTGTTTAAAAGCAAACGTGAACAAAAGCTGCCAGATTCAAAGGGACTGTTTAAAAATACATATTAAAAGTTACGATTAAATGGACACAAAGAAGCAGAGACCATTAACGCCCCACAGCTTTAGAGACCTTTGCAGTGCTCTCGGCCTATTCAGGTGCTTTGAAGGGTCAATTTTTATATCAAAGAAGACAAAGTTACTTTTTTTTTTTAGGTTAAAAAACCGAATCCTGTAACTGAGTCTATTCAATCTATTTTCTTTAACAACCTCCAGACAACGCCTTTAAAACTGTCTGTTGACTGACTACTGCAGTCAACAAATATTCTTTCTAGAAACTTTAAAATGTGCTCCCAAACAGTGATATAAAGCCAGTGAGAGTTGCCCTCCAAAACCAACGATTAATGCCCCTGACATCATGTAAGCTTTTCTGAGTCTACGCGTGTCTGAATCAAAATATTAAGTGTACGGCTTACTGTCAAGGGAGGGCGGCGTTGTGCCAAGTGGCGTCGTAGGGGTGGTTGGAGTAGTGGTGGTAGGTGTGGCGGCAATGTCGATCTCGGGATGGCTCTGTGGAAAGACATGACACACATAAAAACACCTCATTAACAGTGATTAACCTTGCCTAGAGTCTCATAATGTAAAGAAAAGCTGAGTCAGTGAGAAAACAAGAAGAGTAGTAGAGACCGATTACGTTTAGGAGAGTGAAACATCTACAGAACGATGCACTAATCAGTCACCTAATCTCTTCATTTACCCTGAGATATGTAAATAAGCACAAATAAGCACAACACTGCAAAAAAGCAACACATTTGTGAGCTGGTCCTGAGGCTGCCATCTTATCCTTATTTAGGTCGTTAGCTCAAACGCTTTACTCTTATCAAGTCATTTATACTAAAAGAGCAAAACACATTAAATTGCAAGCAACTCCAATCTTTTCACTTCCGAAGCCTTTATATACGACAAATACATGTAATTAACTCCCATAGTATCTTCTCTTCTCTTTTTTTCTCTCTTCTATTTCACTCACAGCCCAGCCACTCACAACACATGGCTGTCCTTCCCCGGGCCTGGTTCTTTCAAAGGTCTCCTCATGATAAAACAGTTTTTCCTGTGCCCACTTATACATAAAAAGTGATGCCTGTTTCCACTCTTAACCACTGGTCTGCGCATCGGTCGTTATTGGCAAATCATCTCACAGATACCATGTGTAGCAGAAGATTTAAGATTAAAAGGATTTCAACCTTGAGAGGAGGTAAATGATAAGGTTTGCTAAAGATTAAATCATAAAACTCAAAGTTTTCTGAATTCTCATTGCAGTCTGAGAACCTCAGGAACTTTTGGACCTGAGGACCTTTGCTTAGCCTGAGGACCACCTGTAATATCTCTTTAAATTAAATCATAAATGAAGACAAGGTAGTTTCTTACCAACTTTCTGTGAGTTACAATGCAGGCAAAAATGCATCAACACACAAAATTACAGAAAAAGTAAGGGGTGGAATAACTTTTACTTGACCTCTAACATCCAAAAGCTGTGAGCATAGAAAAACACAAAAAAGTGTTGTATGTTACCTGTGCTAAGACAGTGATGAAGTTGCGGTTGAGATGCACAGCCTCATAGAGCGCCAGCAGAATCGCCTCATTTGTCCTTGAAATGAAAGTTAAGTTAGAGAAAACACTTTTTTAAATTCAATAAATATCCAAATTTTCACAAAATAGTGGACTGAGCATTCCAGCCTTTGATCCAGTCAAGCTCAAGGAACAACTGGAAAAGCACTCTGCTGCTCAAAGTTTCTTAACAACGGCTTCACGCATCAGCAGGTCACTTTTTTAATTTTCTGTGTCATTAACTACTGCACAATGTTTCAACAGAATAATAAATCACTTCCCAAATCCCCTCATAATGCACTGTCCATTTTTATGTTGATAGAAATTGGGACATTAGTCATGTAAAACAACAGTGAGTATTTGACTGCAGTTTTAAACATATTAAGTTAGTTGGCCTGAGCCAAACTGTCTGTACTAAACAATGCAACAGTTTCTATCTTCTACTTTCTTCAAAAACATCATACCACATAAAAGTTATATTGTCTACTGCTATATATTTTCCCCCCGTCAGTCTAGACTAAATAACTCACAGTGAAAAAGTGATTATATACCAAGCCAAGAAGTCCAATAAACTTCCTACAACATCTGCTATAAAGTTGTGGTGAGGAATAGACCAGAAGAAGCGTACAAATGATTTATAAACCCACAAACACAGCAGCCAAAAACCTGTGAGATGCAAGAAATCTGAAACAACAAAACTTTTCCTTGAGTTCAACATTAACTCAAAACTCAAACTAAATAGTGAAGTAAAAAAGGTGTAAGAAAAAACCCGACCCCTAACCCTAACGCAGAGATCAGAGAACCTCCTGAAGGAGGACAAAGCATCAGGCCTTGGTGGTAAACCAGCAAGACTGAAGTGACTGAGAGAATTATACAGCAGCTGACTATATATATCAGACTGATCTCAACACTCAGTTTCACAATGTTTTTTCAACTTTTAGATCGGTATGATGTCAAAGAGAGCGTGTATACCTACTATGGACATCTTAAGCACACATCTATGTCTGCGAGCCCAGAAGCCCCACCCACCTGTTGTAAAAATGTTCTGTTTGCAAGGGGCATCCAATGAGAACGAAGATGGCTTGGAATGGAACTTATTTCAGAGACAGCATTAACTGAAATGCTAAACTAAAGTCCAGTATAATACAAAGACTTTAAGTCCTGCAAGACTCTAATATTGAACTGAAAATGAGCAACAAAGCAAGAGCAAACAAATCGTCTAATCTGATGACACAAGCACTATTTCAGAGGAGCACTCGGTCTACTCATCACCTGAAAAATGGATGCAAATGGAGCAAAAGCAAAATTATAGTACCTTTGTCTAAGTGGTTTAGACAAAGGCCACACTCAAATGCTTCTGTGTTATTATGGCTTACTGGATGTGGACTGATGGGCAAAAATAGTGATTTAATTCCATGCAAGTCCATGCATCTAAATGATGAAATAACATGGCGCGATATCTAAATTCTACCAGATAAATCTTGTTTTTATTAATGAAACTGAGGTTCTGACAAATGGACTTAAAGATATTAAAAACTCTATGTAACACATTGTAAATATAACAGTAAATACTGGGTTAAACTTATTAATATCTGAGTGTCTTCCTTTTGTTTATAGTATTTCAGCCAACCTGTTCATTCGTACTCCAATTCTGTCCTGTTACTTTTAACTTGAGTATAAAGAACAATGAATCTGTCTGATGTAGGAAGTGAAACGGCTTTGCACTTACTGTACGGAGAGCTTCTCGTCAGCATCTGCTATAAACATGCTGCCCACCATACTAGTGAGGGTAGAGAAGAAGCCACCCTGGTTCTCCTCCTCTTTGTCTTTGTACTGCCTAAAAAGAGAAAAAGACCAGATGGACAGAAAGTAGAAAGAACAAAAAAAGAGGAGCGAATGACAAATTAATGAAAGGCAGGAAAGCCACAAAAGAGAGCAATAAAAACAGCCATGCCTAACCTAACACACATTTACCTAACACCTCCTTTTGCTCTCTGCAGTTTATTATCTACGGGCAATCAGTTTATACACAAAAACAATGAAGTGCATTGAGCCACCATCCATCATTTTGATGTGTCTGTCTATGCACGCAGACAGACAAGACCTCCTTCACACACAGCATTTTAATATCTGAACCTTCCCTCATCCAAAAAACATTACAGACTCCCAAAGAAAGCTGTCAGATATAAATAACTAAAGCTATGAAGGCCTGTTTTCTTTTAAGGAGAATAGAAATAGAACATTTGCAGGATACATCAAACTAAACTGATGGTACCAACACTCTCAGCACACTATGTATTGCATCATTAAAAACACCTTTTTGACAGATGGACGTTTTAAATCTCACCTGTTATATTCTGTCAGAGCTTGGTGGACAACCATACCCATTCCCTGGAAAAGAAAAACATCCAAGGTGTCAGTGAAAGCTTTGATTATCTGTCTGATGTAAAGACCACCTACATCAGGCTGGCTATTTATTATTCTGCAATTACAAAGAACAGCTAGTGACAGCATACTTACATCTAGTGTTGGTTCATCATCCACAATGGAGAGCTTTACAATATATGGATTCACAGACTATAACAGAAAAGGAAAAGTAAATACTTTATTATTAAAGACCATGAAAGACCATTCGTTATTTATTATAACTTACTAACTCAAGAGCCTCCTTTCCCAGTACATACACTAACAACCTGCAACATTTAACTGGTCAGGCTAAGCAATGCAATGTTCAGAAATGCAAATAAAAATACATCATCCTTTTTGAAGGTTATTTTTCTTTCTAGAGGGTGAAAATATGGCGTCAAGAAGGGCTTTGGTACAAAAAAATAATGTTTTTAAAATCTATACCAAGCGCAGAAAATGGATGCTGGAATATTAATTTTGTCCCCGATGCACCCAAGATGGCATCCCAGTAAGACTACAAATAGAAACAGTCAGCCTGTAAAGTCACCCTGATGATGCACGAAGACATTGTTTTACCCCTCATCCACACTGGCTTAACTAATCAAGAGTGTGGCACCATTAATATTCTGGAAACATGATTTAAAACGCCCAAGTTATTTTCTTCCTCTGAGTTATTTTTACCTATTATTCTCTACTGTTGCTGTGTTCAGAGACTAATAATTGCCTTTAACATATCTTCTAATTTTTAGACTTTACAGAAGAAGATACATATCAGTTTCCAGAAGGAGATTCGTCGGAGAACAGGAGGTTGATCTTTGCTTTTGGATACACAACCCGGTTCAGTCTCACATGGGCTTTATACTGGAGTTCATGACTATTGTAGAAAAAGCTTTATATGAAGAAACACTAGCACAGTCAAAAGTCAGCATATGCACATCAAACAGACCTCATATTTTCTGTAGTTCACCAGGAGAGCCAGAAGCACCACAGCATCATAACCATGCTGCCCTCTGCTGGATGCATCTGACAGAATCTGAGCAGGAAACAAACGGAGAGCAAAGATGAATAGACCAGAGCGGAGGAGAGACTATTTCAAAATATAACTGAAAATCACAGAATTATATTTTCTATTCAAATGGTTTACCTGAAGAATGGCTTCAAAGATGCTATTGATCATCACATATTCTAGTATAGTGTTCTGGCTAATGTTGTCTGTTACCTGTAACACAATATTTCAACAGCTGTAACATTTTGTGTAACAGCAGAACAAGCGTATCAAATGATAATTATCATACATGCTCCATCTCACCGTCACCAAACACAGCAACAGTTTGAGGCAAAGGCTCTTGAGACTCTCTGAGCTGTCTCCACAGAGAAGGCTGTCCAGTCTCTCCATCAGGTCCTGCAGGAGACACAAACAAAAGGAAGTGTATGAATGAGTAAAAAAAACAACTCCACCCAGCTATCCCTTTACATCTTTATTTACTAATCGATTTCACTCAATTTTTCTTTCTATTTTTGTTTAGAGTCTAACATACCTTCATCCTTTGCTCAGCCTTATCAAACCCCATGAGCATGTTGATAATATCAAACCCAGACGCCGACTTGTTCTTCTGGTGGACCCCTCGGAAAAGTGCGCAGAGAGTCTGGAAGTAAAGGAGGACACATGGGCTGCTTAACAGATGTTTCATGAATCGGCACGTCTGTAAAGCCCCCCACATCATTTTGCATTGGTAATATTTAAATGTTATGCAGATTTTTGAAGATTTACAGCAAGGGTCAGTGAAAGCCTCAAAAACCAATCAGCATTCAACTGCTACATAATGTCAGTGCCACCAGGCTACATGGTGTTGTTTTTAAGGGCACTGCAGGTGGGTACTTCTGCGTTGGTTGCATACTTAAACTTCACTCTGAATAGAAAAAGACCTAAAAAGCAATACTGATGCAGGTCCATAAATCCTGCATGAGACAACAACAGTCATGGGATGATATTGTTGCTGTTACTGCATCAAGGAGAAAAGTAGTTTTAGTATGTTTCATTATTTAACAGGGTTAAGCTTTAATACTGCAGTCGTTATAAACTGCAATCATAACACCTCTATGCACATCAACACACTCATTATGGAATGCCATTAACTAGTCCTGCCTAAATATTTTTTATTTTTTTAAAACCACAACACACATTTCCACATTTTTGTGAAATGATATTATAAAATAAAAATATAGAGTCAAGCTAACATAATTTATCAGTCAAAAGAAGCTAACAGCCTGATCAACAAACTTAGATTGCTCCTAATGTGATGATTATATACACAATGTGCACACAGTTGAAAATCCAGGTGATAGTTACCTGCAGGGCATTGACCACTTTGATCTGGTGCTCCTCTCCCAGAGCCTGAACGCAGTGGTGAAACAGAGAGTTGATGTTGTCATGAATGCGCTGGACGTCCTCCCCATCCACACTCTCCAACTTTGACTCCAGGTACTCTAGGTTCACCTGCGGGTAAAAAAGATAAAAGTGTTGAGTGAAAGGCAAGGAGAATTAAACGTTAAGGGTGCATAAGTCATATAAAAGATTCACTTCAAAATCTCAGACTACTCTCCTGTTAAAAAAGCAATAGCCTAACCATTCATAGTAGAGAAGTATCACAATAAATGCAAATTATACTGCCTGGCAATCTTCAAAGTCCTTATCTCTGCAGTATTTGGTTGCAGTGTATTTGATTTGAGCATCAGTACTTCCTCTTTTCTAAAGTATGCATTCTTTAAACTATGTGCATCACATCACTGCTGCAGCTTCACATAACCACAGAGTGCACTGTGAGAGATTTCCTGTTATGCAGCACACTTCTTTCTCCTTACCTTCATAAGAAACAGCTCATCCCAGAAACGAGGGTTATTTTTTGCTGGGTCTTCTTTCTAAATCAAGCAGAAATGACACTGTTAGCACTTGAACATAATGCATTTCTCAAAACTCTCAACATCGACATTGTTTGACTTTCTATGATACTCACTGCAAAAATCTCATCATACATGAGGACCACCTTCTCTTTCAAGGGCTTTTTAGAGGATGATGTCCTCCTCAGCAGCCCTGCCTTCTTCTCCACCTGAGACATGATTAAGTCTGAGAAGATAACCACAGTTAAAAGACATATATATTTAATGAGTATTTGTCTTCTTTTTTCAGCTGCTCCCTTTAGGGGTCACCATAGCAGATTATCTGCTTCCATCTCTCTGTATTCCTAGCTTTTTCCTTCGTCAAACCAACTCTCTGCATGTCCTCCTTCACTACATCCACAAATTGTCCCCGTGTTCTTCCTTTTTCCCCACCTGGTAGCTCCATAATCAGCATCCTCTGTACAATGTATCCAGCCAGCACTCTCCCTTTACCATTCATAGTTCCAACATTTAAAGTCCTCACCCTCACCTCCACACTCTTGTCATTCCTTCTTTCTTGCTGTACTGAATATGCCTCCCCCCTCTCCAGCACACAGTTTTTACCTGTACCCTGCTGGCCAACAGCACCAGAGGTAGTCCTTGTTAACCCAGACTCCCCGACCAATCCAATATGGAAATCTCATCATTCAAAATCTGTATGTTTGATTTGGCAAAGGATTTTATGCCAGATGTCCTCTGTGACCAAACTTAGGACTGGCCCTAGGAGTGCACTGGCTTGTGGCCCCACAATCGTCAATTGATTATTATAAAAACAAGGCTAAAAATATTCTGTATTGTTTGATCAAAAGAAAAGATCAGAAATAGATAATAGTCTGACCTGTTTTTCAAGATTTCATGCCTTTGTCCCACACCCTTTTTTATAATGAACAGGTTATGAATGTAAGTATACAGTTTTTATTTAAGAAGAAGTTATTTTCCCATAATCAGACCGAGCAATACGTTTAAAATGAACTTGCATTATCAGTTTGCATTGCCAACATCTTATGGGCTTGCATCAATTGATTATCTGAGTATCATATATCATATTGACATTTGCTCACACTGATCAGTATTAAGCCAACTGGACGTTGAAGTACTAGCTTGTCAGCTAACATTAGCTTACTAACCACTGCCACCTAACTTGGTGGGATCAAGCAGTAAACAACAAACGGCAACACATCATGTAGCATGCACTGTTGTCCAGCAGACATCCAAAAAGCACTTTAGCGGTTAGGTCATTAAATGTTAATCTAATAAAATGCCCAGATTCCTCCCAGCTAAAGCTAACGCTACGTAGCTTAATATTTGTCACACAAAGATATTAACAACGATTTGGCTGTCAGCTGATATCTGAAAGGGATTATTAGCAACTTTACTGTGTTGT